ATATTTAAGTATAGCAGTGTTTGACTATATTCTGCATAGTGAGAAAACCTGAAGTCATTTTCAAGGTTCACCATTTCTTACTTATTTTCAGTCAGGTCAAGTTTCTAAGCTTTCTAAATCTCCATTTTCCAGCTAATGAACAGAAAATAGGATTTCACTGAGTCTTCTATCTACCTACTCCAGGACTTCTGTGAGGATCAAATGAGATGAGGCATGGGAAAATACTTCACAGACTTTTGGTTAAAGTGTTAAAATGTTTCCACCTGGCTATAAAGCAAGTCATGTTGCTGGGCTGAAGAAACTCTAAGAAGGCTAGTTGCTAGGGAGAGGAAACCCGTGTTGCTATGTGTTCCACGTGGGAGAAGCTAAGTGTTGCTTTGTGGGTGCCAGGTCCACGGTAAACTTATTGTTAAATGGCCTGTTGCTAAGGAGAGGAAACTGGGCGTTGCTACATGACATCATTACCTGGCACCTACAGCCACCATTTCTGGACCAGGCTTGTCTGTTGGCTGCATTTTGCACCATTGGGTCTTGGCAGTGTAGGCTGCATTTTGGTGGACTGTCGCTCTGGGATGGTGGTGGGGCCTCTGTCCCACTTGGGGAAACTGAGTGTCACTTTGTGATCTTCAGGTCCACAGTGCCATTTCTCTGTAAATGGCCAGGTTACATCATCGCAGCCCCTGTGTCGAGCGTCTGCCTCCTGGTGGTCAATGCACATCATAGTGACTGGTAGGACAGTTGGATGGTCGGACACTTAGCATATTAGCCTTTTTTATATACACTAGAGGTCCAGTGCACAAATTTGTGCACAGGTGGGGTCCAGTCAGCCTGCTCTGATGGGGATCCATCGGGCCAGGCTGGCTGGCTGGGGAGGGGAGGGCGGGGGGGGGGGGGGGGGGGGGGGAGTGATCAGGGCCCAGATCAGATTGGTTAGCTTCTGCAGTGCATATCATAGCCACCAGTCATTCTAGTCATTCTGCCATTCCAATCGCTGGGTATATATATATATATATATATATATATATATATATATATATGTGTGTGTGTGTGTGTGTGTGTGTGTGTGTGTGTGTGTGTGTGTTAGGGTGCTTCACTGCATAGAGATGCTAACAGGAATATAGAGTGTTTTCTGCCTCCAATTGGGAGAAATACATTTGTAGTTCTTGTATTTGAGGGGAGAAGAGATGAACACAGTCAACAGTAGGTTAATACTGTGCTTACACCTCTTCTTATATATTGTACAATTTTAATTCTTTAAAAAACTCACATACACCTAAATACCTTCTATAAATGCAGCAATTTCTATTTCTCAAAATATGTTTAATTAAATGGTTTCCTATTTCTGTCAAAAAAAACCACATCATATAAGTAGGGCAAAAATTACTATTTTATTATTTAAAGAGAAGAAGAAACAGTCAAATAGAAATCAAATATACTTGTATGAGTTTGGGAATAGCCTATACAACCGATTCCTTTTTAAATGCTGTAATCTCTTCATCATGTTTTCCTCTGCACTGCAGTCTTACTATATCATATGCCACTCATTACTCTATCTGGTCTGCAATAAAGAACCTCACTAACCAATTCCAGATCCTATGAATGTGTGGCTAGAATGAAATCGCTATAAAGAAAGAGGTTGTTGGTTTGTTTGTTGGTTGGTTTGTTTTTACTAAAAAGTTGAAATGTGTGCCTTTGGGATCAACATTAGAAGGCCACTTAACTTTTTCCTCTCATAGTTTTAAAGGCTCCATTAGCAACTAAGATATAGCCATGTCGGTGCCTTAGACATTTTAACTGGCCAGTGTCAATGACCCGGTCCTACTTTGTTAGAATCCAGTTAGATAGAGACCACACAAGTTATAACATCTGATATGAATAATCGTTATGCAGGTATTAAAGAACTGGAAGAAAAAAAAAAAAAAACAGACACTGAAGTACCATGAACTAGCAACTGCAGAAGCAGATGCTACTCCAGCAGTAGGAGAAGTTAAGGGCAAGGATGAAATAATGGAAGTAGAATCTTAGAGAAGGGGCCCCGTGGCACTGGGACTCTGAGAATGGGGCACTGTTTGGATATTACTGGAGCTTCAGGACCTCAGGGGAAGGTCCCTAAGGAGATGGGGTTCAGAATTGGGAGAGATGTTGCTAGTGAAGCTGGTTCTCTGATTGCAAACTGCTGCATTAGTGAGGAAGCTGCACAGAGATGCTAACATAAATAGAAAATGTCTTCTGCCTCCAACCCTCTAGACTCCCTGTGGCACCCCCGCCCCCACTGGAAGAACCTGGAAGGACCCAGCCCCAAAGAGAAAACGTGTTTTGTGGTATGTCAGTCCCAGCATCACTGAGTGTGAAATGGTGGGTTTGAAACAGAGGGACCAGAGCTTATTGACTGTCACACATTAAGAGAATGCAAAGAAATTGTGAAGATATTCTGCTAGGCTTGTGGTAAGCAAACTGCGGCTCTCGAGCCAAATTCGGCTCTTTAGCCCCTTGAGTGTGGCTTTTCCACAAAATACCACAGCCTAGGTGAGTCTATTTTGAAGAAGTGGTGTTAGAAGAAATTTACGTTTAAAAATTTTGCTCTCAAAAGAAATTTCAATCGTTGTACTGTTGATATTTGGCTCTGTTGACTAATGAGTTTGCCGACCACCGTGCTAGGCTATTTCACCAGTATTTATTCTCCCAATTTCCCAGAGGGAGGCTTAATTCTGCAGCTGCATATCTAAGGGCACAAAATTCTTACTTATGAATTTTGTGGTTTTCAACCCTAGTTAAAGATTATTAACCCCTGAAGTACTTTTTTTTTTAAGTGTGAGGTCCCACTCTCGACAAATAAAAGTGTGACCTAGGTATTATTGTGTTGTTGTTGTTTTTTTTAACTTACTAAGTAATTTTCATGTTCAACCAAAGTTAAGAATCATTGCTAAAACTAGATCAAATGAAGGAATATAAATTGTCAACAGTAATGCAACCTCAAAAATAAATAATGCATAATTCAACCTCAACTATAAAGAATTCAAAATGTGAAAGATATTTTTTTTTACTCAACAAGTTGACAGTGTTTATTTTTAATGCAATCTCTTTTATTTGATAAGCATTTAAAATATATATGCTTTCATTTATTGAACTAAAAGTTAAGACAATACTTATGAAAGAAATGTATCTGTTATTTTACAAAAGCAAAACAAAACAAAAATACTTAACTATTATACTACTTGAACCAGAGATTTTACTCTTGGGGTTTCATTCTAAGAATGTTCATTGTTTATTTACCAAATGTTAGTGAAAGACGACCATGTGCTTGATGGAGTTAAAAGAACTGGGAATATAGCAGGAAAAACAAAGATAATGTCACTAGCAATATAGAGTTTGTATTCTAGAGGGCAAAGGTAGAAAAATGCAGTACTGTTCAGATAATATAGCACTTTAATGAAAACCATTTCAATGGGTTCAGAACATTAGATGGGATAGTCAGGGATGGTCTCTGAGGAGCTGATATTTGTAAAGTCAATCCAAGCAAATTTGTTACAGTTGAAGAACAGGAAGAAGTTTAATGTGGCCAAATTCAACAGAAAAGAAGTAGGAAAGAAAGAGTGATTTAGGAACTAGCTCAAGTAGAGCTCCAAAGGCCAGCAAAGGAGTTTGAACTTTATTCTGAATCCAATGAGAAATAATTTGACGAGTTTAGGAGGAAAGTGGCATAATCTAATTTTAGTTTTAAAATGTCACTCTGAATGCTGTGATGGGGAATAAGGGAGTGGCAAGTGTCAAAATAGGGGAACTAGCAAGAACAATTCAGAACTATCCAAATGAGAAATGAGAGTAGTTCAAACTAAAGTAGTTGTTGCAAAAGTGGAAAAAGCGGACATATAGGACTTATGTTTGAGCTAATGGATTAGATAATGAATAAGTAAAATATAGTTATAGTTACCAATTATGGTTTAAATAATTAGATGGTGTTGCTGTTTATGTGACGCAATACTAAAGTGAGAAGAAGAAAAAAGCTTTAGAAGGAAAATTAAGAAATTGTATTGCAGAATTTACATTATGGAGCAAACCCCAATAGGATCACCAATAAAATAGTCTGGCAGTCAGGAGAGCAGAGGTAAAAGCATTACTTTGGAGTCCTTAGAAAAGAAGGATAATCAAAGATTCTAAAAATGTCTTTACAAAGACATTCACTGTAACATTTCTTTTTTTGTAATGTAAACCTTTGAAAATAATACACATAAGCTAGTTACTACAATTCTACAGCACAAAAAAAATATATATTGTTTGCCAATCTGACAAAAAAAAATAGGTATAATTTTGATTCATCCACATCAGACGGCTGTTGTAGTGTTGGCCATTGCAATTTTAAATTTGATAATCTAAGGCAAAAGAGGTCAGTGACTATTAATATTTAGTCAGGGATTGTATGTCTTAAACATTCTTGTGGCTGTAATTCTAAGCTGTAAAATTTCTTAAAATAAATAAAAAGCTCCTGCATATAAGTAGCTATCAAAAAATAATAATGAATTAATAACAAGCTAGTAATAAAAATAATAAGTATAGAAATAAGTTATACATGGCACATTGAAATAAATGCAGGATTTAAAAGATGATTTCTTTTTCTGATAGCCTTTCATTCCCCCTTCTTGCCAACCTGCCTAAATCAATCTTATCCTAAGAGAAGACAAGGGGACAACAAAGAAGAGAGAAAGTTTCTTATTTGTTTGATATATTTTGAGATAGTAAAGAAACATGAAAAACTATCTTCTTTATATTTTATTCTTTTTCTAACACATAATTTCAAAAATACAACAATAACTTTATTAATTAATCTAAGGGCTCATGAACTTTACTCTAGGTATATTTCCTCTAGCTTGCAAACGATCTTGATGAATAAAGAAGGACGCATGGTCACGCAATCTATCATGGACCTGCAGCAATGGCTGGAGACTCACCTGAATGAAGCCTTTGCTACACCAAGTCCCCCGCTGTGCTTGTGGAGCCCGGCATGAGCCTGCCCAGTGCTGGCCTCGGTGCCCAGGAGCAGCGCAGTGGCCCTGGTCATGGCCTCTGAAGCTGGGCCCCTGGAGCCAGCTCAGCCTGGGTCTAGACTCTCACTCCTTCCCTTCCCCATGGGTGGCCTGGCTCCCACTCCTTGGTAACTCCATTCCCCAGCCCCTTACAGTATGGTTTTTACTTCTGGGGATTTCACAAAAACTTCAAAGAGGCCTTGCTTTGCAAACAGAACTATTTAATTCCTTAAATTAGCCCTGCCTCTCTATCACACATCAGATATATAAGTTTTCCTAGAGACACGTTTTTATATTCTTCTATATATTGAAGCAAAAGGAATGAAAAGTCTGTAAAATGATTCATTGAGTGTATGTGACAGTGTCTTCATTATTTCAAAATTATTGGGAGATTACCTTTCATGTATGTGCAGATACTGTCTATATAATATAAGCTAAGTAACCATTATGGTGGAATGATAAGAACAACCTGTTGGTCGCTATGATGCGCACTGACCCATTAGGGGACAGACGCTCAATGCAGGAGCTGCCCCCTGATGGTCAGTGCACTTCACAGGGGGAGAGCCTCTCAGCGTGAAGCTGGGCTTACAGCTGGCGAGCACAGAGGTTGGCTGGAGCCTTTCCTGCCTCTGCAGTAGCACTAAGGTAATCAGCTTTACACAGCCAGGTGAACTCGGCGGAGAAAAGGGTGGACGATGAAACTCTTCAGTACTCTATTACTAAGGAAAGTAGAACAAGGAAAAGTCAGAAAGAGGCTTACAAACAGTTGCAAAATGAGGAATAAAGAGAATAAGAAATAATATAGGCTCGGAAACAAGGAAGGAAGTGATTTCAAGAAGAGAGGAATAAACTATGTTAAATATGGCAAAGAGATTAAAATAGACTGGAAAGCGTGAACTAGACTGAACAATAATGTCATTGTTGACTTAACAAGAACTTTTGAAAAGTAGAATATGGTTGGAAGGGAAGTCCATAAAATAAAAATAATAACTGGAAAAATGAAATGAGCCAAAAAAACTGAAGTAACACGTAGGCAAATATTATGGAACAGGCATTTCTCAATCCTTCTCCCTCTTGTTTCTTGTTCCATCAGGACTTCCTCCACCAGGAAATTGAAGACACTTTAAAAGAAGAGAACAGTCAAGCTGGAAAACCCCTAATTTTAAAAAATGATAATTAAAAAAATAAACTCTTATTTTTCTAGAGATTCATTACTGCTATCTGCTATTATTGGCTTTTTGTTTTTGTTTTTTTTTTTTTTTTGTTTTGTTTTGTTTTTACCTTCTATTTCCCATAGACAAGATTTCTTGTTTTAATTCCTTAATGGAACTGGTAAAATCAGGAAGACTTACCTATTGTCTCACTTTAAAGGTATATACCATATTTTCACTGAGATATTAGTCTATGGTATTTATCTATTTATCCATGGGGAATGTTTATACAGAACACTGGGAGACTTTTAGCCCCAGAGTAGAGCCATATTAAGACAGGCAGAGCCATTTCCCACAACTATACTGGGATATATATATTCAGGGTATGCATGACACTCAGAGCAAAGAAATCTCAGCCACCACCTCCCTACTTCCCCTTTCACTTCTTACACCTCTAAAAAAACCCCAGCATATTTATCTTCATCTTTTTTTCTTCTTCAGGACATCTTCTGCTTTTGTGGTTCTTATTCAAACCATCCTGTCCCATTTGAGGGGGGGGGGGGGAGGCTAGAATCTAATCAAGTAATTAGAGTATAAAATAAAAAGAAATATAAATTAACATCTTTACAGGCAAGGACAACATTTCTTATTGAAGCAAAGGGATTTCTACTATTTTAACGTGATTCAAAACAATTAAAAAAGTATCTTTATGGAAAGTGAATTTCATAAAGGAAATTATTTTTATGATCCCAAAGTTATTGTTAAAGTACAATTAGTCTGTCAGTGAACACATTGGATCGATTTGGAACATTACTGAGAGTAGTATAAATAATGCAGAACATTAAAGAATTTATATAAAGTTTCTTTTCCCAGGAAAAGCAAACCTGAACATATCAATATCTTACAAACTATGGATAGGGCATGCAGTATCAAGTGTAGTAATTTGTAATGAGCAAAATAATAGTGTTAGCTTATTCCAGAAAAAATAAAATAAGATGGCCCTGATCTGTAAAAATATATTCAAACATGTTCTGAGCCTCTGGCAAAAATGAGAAAGAAAACCCAAAGTAAACACAAAGTAACAGGAGAGAGAGATCAGAGAAGCACAATACACATATTTGACCTGCTCAGGAATGAAAAAGAAAACTAAGTCCCCATAGTTCTAAATCATACTAAACACTAGAAGTCTGCCTGGTTCAATAAGAAATGTATATCTTGCTAAAAAAAAAAAAAAACAAAAACAAAAACAAAAACAAAAACAAAAAAACATAGTTCAAATTTGTGAAAGATATACTAGTATATCTATATATAGATATAGAGAAAGAGATAACACATGAAGACAGAAATAGAGATAGAGATGATACTGTGTTTCCCTGAAAATAAGACCTAGCGCAACTTTGGGAGAAAAAAATAATATAAGGCACTGTCTTATTTTCGGGGAAACAGGTAGATAGAGATAGATATATTGTCAGCTTTGCTCCTTAAACTAAGACTAAAAAAAATAATTGAAGCATTCTTTAAAAAATGCCAGTGTTAAGGAATTACTTCTGGAAGGGTTAATTAAGGGTCTCCTTAAATATGCCTTGTGAATATGGCTGCAAAATATTATAAAAACTACTAGGAAATCTTATTTCAGTAACATAAAAAAAAAGATTATTCATCATAACCAAGTAGGATTTATTCCAGGAATGCAAGGTTTGCTAAACATACAAAACGAGCCGAAACCGGTTTGGCTCAGCAGTAGAGCGTCAGTCTGCGGACTGAAAGGTCCCAGGTTTGATTCCGGTCAAGGGCACCTACATTGGTTGTGGGCACATCCCCGGTAAGGAGTGTGTAAGAGGCAGCTGGTCAATGTTTCTCTCTCATCAATGTTTCTAGCTCTCTATCTCTCTCCCTTCCTCTCTGTAAGAAAAATCAATAAAATATATTTAAAAAAATAAACATACAAAACGAATCATTATAAAACACTATTTGACTAAACCAATATATATCAATGGATACAGGAAAAAAAAATCACTTGAAAAAAATCCAACATTCTTTCCCAATAAAAACACTGAACCAACTAAGATTGATTGATAAAAGAGTAATAAGGAAAAACACAGCTAGGAAAAACTCACAGCTAGCATCATAGTTCATACTGCAAATTTTCTAACTACAATCAGGAAAGAGAAGGGTTTCTGTTCTCATAATTTTTATTAAACACCAGTGGCTATGTGCACAGATTCATGCACATTGAAAGGAAACTAATTAGAAAAAATACTTTAATATTGTTATTTGCCCTTCCTCCATAATAGAAGTGTCAGAGATTAAATAAAATTAGTAAAATGTATATGAAAATATATAAATTCATCAATAAATAAACAATAACCATATGATATATAAATACAACAAAAACATGATATAAAAACATTGATAAAAATAATGACTGATTCAATATTACTATTCTAATATCTCCCTGTATACAACATTAAGAGTAAAAATACTTTCTGAGTGCTTGACTAATTTCCCTGTGATGAAGTATTTGCAATTTTAACTTTAACATCACATACTCTTCAAACTGACCATGTCTGAAAATGGGTTCAGGTAGGAATATTCCTATTCTGTCTAGAGTTTGTCCTAGTGATTTATTAATAGTCATGACAACTGCGGCATCATGGGAAACTGTCTTCAAATTAACATAAATGGGAGGCCAGTGTCAGATGAGGACAAATCAATTCTTGGAATCAGAACAACCTCTCCTTCCGCAGATCCTGTGAATACTTCAGCTTCAATTATGTTAGGTCGCAATCTTTTGATAATAAATTTAGTACCATTACAAAGACCCCATTTAGTATTAAGATTTCTCAGTAGCATGATGATTTCACCTACTTTCAATTTTAATTTATGACACGACATTCCCAAATCAATAATACTATTAAGAAATTTGATGGGAAAGTTTTCCTTTTCGGCATCATTCATTGAATCGATGGAATCATCACTCCATTCAATAGGTGTGAAAATCTCCAGAGTATATGCAAAATTTCTTCATTTAATTTATGTACGTGCTCATTTTTAGGGCAAACAATCATATGCTTAGATATATTTTTAATATTATCTATAGATATATTATTTCGAAAGATAGCTTCAATAATAGATCCATTATAAATCATTTCACAGGGGATTTCAGTAATATCCATTCCAAGAACTTTATATGTATCATGCATGCGCAAGTCAATGTTTATTTTTAAATTGCCAGTGTGCATCATAGGTATCAGCCGATCAGTAGATCAGAAGATCAAATATTGTTAAGTTAGTGTTATGGCTTGAATTGTGTCTTCCTAAAATTTCTATGTTTAAGTTCTGACCCCCAGCACCTCAGAATATGACACTATTTGAAAATGGGGATGTTGCAGATATAATCAGTTAAATTAAGATGAGGTTATATTGGAATAGGATGGAGTCCTAATTCAATAAATGTGGTGTCCTTATATTTTTAAAAAGCTATAAAGAGAAAGAGATGCACATAGAGAAAGACATCCTGAAGACACAGGGAGAATGTCATCTACAAGGAACCTCATTGATATGAAATGTCTAGAATAGGAAATCCATAAAGACAGAAATGTAGATTTGCAGTTGTCAGGAGCAGGAAGAGAGAGGTGTGAATGGAGAATGACTGCTAATATATAAGGGTGGCTTTTTTTCAGGGTGATAAAAACATTCTATTATAGAATTAAATGATAATGGTTGTATAATTTTGTCAATATTCTACATTTGTATACTTAAATTATGCAAATGAATTGTACACTTTAAATCTATACTAATAAAAGGGTAATATGCAAATTGGTCAGGATGCCTTCATAGTAATGATCAATCAGCTGACTGCACAGGGCGATAAGCTCTGCAGGGGTGGTTAGTGAAGGATGACCAAATGACTGAACAGCAGGCTGCATGGGGCAACCAGCCTGTCTGTGGGGCAGTGAGGAGCCACCAAAGACCAAACAGAAGGCTGCATGGGGTGACCAGGCTGGCAGAGGAGGACAGTGAGGGGCAACCATGCCGGCAAGGGGTGAGGGGGCATGAGGGACAAGCAGGGCAGTGAGAGGGGCAGTTGGGGGCAACCAAGCCAACAGTAGGGGGCAGTTGGTGGCAACCAGGCCAGCATAAGGGGTAGTAGGGGGTGACCAGGCCAGGAGGGGGGGGCAGTTGGAAGTGACCAGGCCAGTGGGGGAGGACAGTTAGGAGCAACCAGGATGATAGCGGGGGCAGATAAGGGTGATCAGGCAGGCAGGCCAGTGAGCAGTTAGGAGCCAGCAATCTAAGACTGTGAGAGGGATGTCAGACTATTGGTTTAGGCCCAGACATTCCCGAGGGGTCCAGGATTGGAGAGGGTGCAGTCTGGGTTGAGTGGATCCCATCCCACCCATGCACAAATTTTCTAGTTAATAAATAAGAAAAAATAACAATTAAAAAATTAATACCACATCGAGCACTACCTCAAACCCATGTAATGAGAATTTCAAAAAGTATGCCAATTGTTAACTTTTTGGCAGCTCATAAATAATTTTTTTAAAGTACAGTAGCTCATTTCCTCATATTCAAATGTATAGAATGTCTTACTACATAATTATTTTGAGGTATCTCCTTCTTAAATCAAAGTTATTTTTATCTTAAGGGAAAATAATTATAAATGCTCAAAATATTTGTTTGCTCATCATCCCACTATCACAACCCAATTAATTTTATTTAACATCAACTTCAATCCTTATCTTTTTCCATATATGTGTAATTATGGTATCTACATTAATAAGAGTAAGATGCAAATTGACTGTACCTTTGGAATGCCCACCAGCCAATCAGGAGTGGGTATTCGAATTAACTCAACAAAGATGATGGGTTAATTTGCATATGTAGGCTCAAGTGGCCAAGGGGCAGGGAAGAATGCTTGTGTCGTTGCCATGGCAACAATGCAGGCATTCCACAATGCCCCAGCTGCTCTGCTGTGGGCCTCAGGGCAGTGTGGGAAGGCAGAAAGGCAGATCAGGCCTGAGTGTAGGCAGCGCTGGCAGTCAGGGGAAGGAAGGCCCATTCTTGTACGAATCTTCATGCATCAGGCCTCTAGTGTGTGTGTGTGTGTGTGTGTGTGTGTATTTCCATACAATTATAGTGTGCTGAAATTAACAAATAAATTGCTACTATGAATCAAGTTAATATTTCCATATTAAGCTAATTCTAAACTCAGAATGTCAATACACCCTAATTTTGCTTCAGTTCTAAAATTTTTCCTTAAGCCGAAACCGGTTTGGCTCAGTGGATAGAGCACTGGCCTGAGGTCTGAAAGGTCCCGGGTTCTATTCCGGTCAATGGCATGTAACTTGGTTGTGGGCACATCCCCAGTAGGGGGTGTGCAAGAGGCAGCTGATCGATAATTTTCTCTCATCAATGTTTCTAGCTCTCTATCCCTCTCTTCCTCTCTTTGAAAAATCAATAAAATATATATTTAAAAATAAATAAATAAATAAATAAATAATTTTCCTTAAAATCATCTTCTAGAAGGGAGCCTTTTGAGCCAAGTGCTTCACTGTTTGTATGGCACAGGACTTTCTTTTCTAGAAAGAGTGGTACTAACATATATGTCATTGGTTTTATGTACAAATGTTGCTACCCTTCACAAGTATATTATATTATCATGACAAAATTTTTGTAGTTGAATGGTAACAGTGTTTACAGGTCAAAGCTCTCTTATTTGTTTTGTTGTTGTTTATTCATGAATGACGCTAGGCCCTCCTACAGGGTTGCTCACCTAGTTCCAAATGATAATATACAACCATAATCGTGGGTTAATTAAACTAGCAGTATTTCAGAATAATTTTTAATTCCATCTGTTTTGAGAATCATCGCAGCCAACCCTTCCAAACTACACACTATGCTCACTAAACCTTCAGTAATGAGCCATGGTAAATTTATCTGACAGTCACCCTGTGGCATTCACAGAGTAGCTGTGAGTAAAATTATGAAAACTATAAGAATTGACTTCCCCCCATAAAGAATCTTTCCCATTTAGTGGCCCTCTTTTCTCACACTCTATTTTTCATTTTCTTTATTTATTACATTTCATTACAAACCCATACATTTTTATTACAACAAGTAAAACAATGCAAAAATATATATTCATTTTATAAATTTTAAGAAACACATTTCTCTCCCTCTCCACCACCATGCCAGTCTAATCCCAACTCTATGGTGACCATTGTTAATAGCCTCGTGTGTAACTTTAATTTTTTCCTTGACGTTCATACAAACATATACAGAAATATTTAGCATCACTAAGACTTCCATAATTATTACATAAATTCCCTACTTTATAAAGTCCTTCTTTTTTTTCATTTACATGAATGACTAACCACTTAAGGCATTAATCTTCCAATAATAATGAATTGTTAATAGGCCAAAAAGCTGTAAATTAGAAATTAAATTCTAACAGCAGAAATGCAAGCATTGATCAGTGGGTAAAAAAAAAGAATTGTGGATAGTTGGAGTCAGGGAAGGAGCAGCATTTGGCCTTCCAGAACTGCAAAAATATATTTGACTTCTTATTTTGTCTTACATAGAAGGCAGTCTTTGAGCAATTCTTGTTCATTAAGTGTGAGTGACCTGGAAGGTTTCAGTTCAATGAAAGAAACCTTTGGCATAACCTCACACTCACACATATACATAAATATGTAGCAGTTGCTCTTTTCTCCATTTATACAATAGAATACACTAGTGCCTGCATGTTATTGAAGAGCTATACATGTTCATCAATGAAAAGTGTCTTTGTTGTCTATTCCCTGACTTTTAATATGAGGACAAACCAAGTGGAAATAACATGTAATGTATTAAACAATAAAGATCATTATGAAATAATAGAAAATAATGAGGAAAAATGAAGTAACACAACAGCAATGTTTAGGCAACTCCTCTCACCTCACCTGCCCCAGGTAATATGTGGGAGGAAGGAATGCAGGGGGTATCTAAGCTTTGCTTTATCTGCATTTTCAATGTTCACTCCTGCTTATTATACAATTAAACACTGTGCTATACAGCTTAGGTGAATCAATTACTTGGGATTAGAGAAAAAAATAAACCCTCACAACACTATATACAAAGCATTAACAGTTTTCTTTGTAATAAAACCAAAATTCCAAAATACTGTGGTTCTGGATATAGTACTGTAGACAATTTGAATACTGGGGTGAAATCTCACACAATGTTATTGTTTAAAGCCAAACAAGAAGGATAATGTTAGAAAAGAAATGACGACTAATAACATTTCATACATTCCTCTAGGAATGTTTTTACTTAACATTTCTCTAGGGAAGGCACTGAAACCATTTCATGAAACAATCAACTAATTTATTGTACCACTATAAAATCAATACAAATATTTAATATTATAGGGAGCTGAGTTAAATATGCTCATATACGTTTACATTCTAAGTACCACACAACATGGAAGACTGATTGAATTATCTGTATTTTGCCTCTAAAAATGTTGCTGGTTATTGTAACCTTGCATGTATTTTTTCTCATCTTCCTTGCTTAATACAAACTTGCTTTGGTTCAAGTAAACTAGTCAAAATCAGAGTCCAAGAAGAAAGCCAAGGATGTAGACGAAAAAATATTATAGACTAAAACCCAGGTGTAAGGGATGAAATAAGATCCATGACACTAACAGTGTTCAAGATATTAGCAGCCAAAGGTTTTGGAAACAGGTTGGGATACAGAGCATAAGGCAGAATAAAGCAATAGTTGATATTGGTGGCCGGGTTTATTATAAAAGAAGCAGAGGATGGATTTTAGTGTCTGGCAGCAAACAGCCCTGGGGGACCTTCAAGGTTAGCATAGCTATAAAACTGGATTTCTTTTTTAAATTAGGGCACTATTTGTGAATGCCCACTATTAAGGTTAAGTGACCTAATAAGTTATAGTCATTAGCATATTAAAAACTGATTTATTATGTAAGCTTTGAAAATGGGGCACAAAATATGTGGTAGAGGTAGAGGTTAGGGCCAGAATATAAATCAGACTTAAAGTGAGACATCTACAATGTGGTGCCTAGGAAGTCCTGGGCAGCATGAGGCAATTGGGATCCATCTCAAAGGATGAAATGTCAGCACGATTACCATCATCTTTTCCTGCACAAAATATTAGATTTCACTCAACGTGTTCATAATAATAAACTTTCCTGAATATTTTTAGAACTGAAAATAGGCATAACAAAAATATGATTAGATCACAAAAAGAAAGAACTGGGAAAATAGTATTTTAAAAGAACATTGACAAATTTTTAAATACAAGTTTTTAAAAGATCAAATTTCAGAATTACAGATATCCTCAAAATTTCAATAGAAAATATTGCAAAGATTTTAATTACAAATCATTCTTCAAACAAAACAAGCCAGAAATATACACAATATCTAGTATAATTCTAACTGAAATTAGGGAAGTTATGACTTAAGGAAGTATATACTTTAACTGGAAAGAATTTTTTAAAATCTTTTATTTCCTGATGAAATAGATGTAATTATCTAAATTTTAATTTACTCTTATCCATGGGAGGTAAATGAACACCCAGAGGCCAATGAAGAATTATAATAATTAGAAATGTTTAAGCTTTGATATAGTTATTAGATTTTAGACACTAATGAATGGATCACTATGATTAAAAAAAATACGACTTGTTTAAGCTCTTAAGCAAAATAAATACTAATTATACAGAGCAATTTTTTAACCTGAAGTATTTCCAGTTTTGATGAACTAAAAAGGTTAGAATAAATGTGTGGAATAGCAAGTTGATGTTTCTTTCTCTCTCTCAAATCAATGGATTAAAAAAAATTATTGAAAAATATTCACTTGTATAACTTTTAATAAAAAATAACTTTAAGTTAACAAGAATTGCAGTTTTTACATTTCTTAAAAATATATATTTATCATACCAAAGAAATGATCCTTTTACTCTTAGGGTCTGATTATAATGAAATTACCTAAAGTTCTTAAAAGTAGTGGTGGTGGTGGGGGGGGGGGGTGTTTTTCTTTGTTTGTTTTTAATTTCTTTCTTTTTTTTTTAATGGTGAGTTTTTTAGTAAGGGTATCAATATGCTCCCTGACACTGCCTTAGGCTACTAGCTTAAGGGTAGGCCAGGTACAGAAGGTCACAAGGGCAGAAAGCCTGGGTGCCTAGCAACAGGCAAACTAAACACAAGTATTGTAGGGTGGAACCTGGTCCCCTGGGGGAGCTTTCCTCCCCTAGCATGTTGCTGGCCATGGGGTTTAGACCCCCGGACCTTTCATATGGCAGCTCTGAGTTTCTGACACTCCCCTGACCTTTCCTTCCCTGGCATATTGCCAGTCATGAGGGGGTGGGGAGGGAGGAAAGGAAGAGGGAGTGGGAGGCCAGAGAATAGCTTTATAGGACTTCTATATGGGCCCTTGCATGACCACTTTCTTAAGCAATAAGCCCTAGAGAGAACATCTAGGCCTCAGTTGTGTTTGAGCTCCAGGTTCATAAAAGCAGCAAAACCAGAAGGGGGATGCCATGGCTGACATCAGGACCTGCTATAATAACTAATGACCCCACACACTGCTACTCGCCTACAGGTAGAGACCACGAAGCTGAAAGACACACACCCTGAAAGCTGATGAATATTCTATTGAGATCCTCCCAGAAACCTCCCCCAAAATCCCTGCCTTTGGAAAGGAGATGAAAGCTCTTAAGATGAAAGACTTCGTTCTCTCTTTCTCTCTTGGACATGTCTGTGCCTTTCCCTTCTTCTACCTCTGTTACTTCGTAAATAAACTTTTGTTTGTATTTAAAAAAGAAAACACCTCTTCACAGGATTTAATTTAATCCTTGTTTTATTATTACAAACAGAAAAACTTAATGGAACAATTGGTGCTAAGTCAGTCATGATATAGCCCTTGTTCCCATTACTGCAATTAAGAAACCAGATGTCATAAAAAAAAAAAAAAAAAAAAAAAAGGTCACTGAGAGAAAATGAGGGAGAAGCAATCAGGCCCAGGCATTCTTATTGTAGTTTGCTGTAATACTTTGGTCTCATCACTTAATATTTGTCTCGAATTGTTTTCATATATGCAGTAAGTGAATCAGATAAGAAAATTTGCTGGGATTCTTCCAGCTAAATTGATAAAGAACTAATTGATGAAAAAGTATTGTAATAGTTTACTATTTGATTTAATAGTTTATTATACTCAGATGACTTAATAAATCAACCAAGACAGGTGGTAATAAATACAATGTAATGAAAAACTTATGCTTGAACATTGATAGTTCCTTGGTACTAGTATATGTTTAACTACATATTAAATTGTCAGATCTTGTTAGCACTATATAACTGTGAGATTCTTTAAAATATTTAAGATAAAGGTTAAAAATCAGCAGCCTATAAGTTAAAGCTCTTCAACAGTTGACATTTAGTGCCCACTGTGTTTAAAAGAAAAAATATATACACTTTCAAACAGGAAACAGAATTTCAAAAATGTGAATTTGTAACTTCTTGGGGGTGGGGGAGAAATGGAAGATTTGGAAACACTAGTCCACTCATACAGAGAAACAATTATGTGGTGGTGAATAGCTGAGGCCATTAAATACAGCAGGAGTTCACACCACAGCGCCCACCCAGTCTCACTTTCTCCTTTACTCTGTAGGCTTTTCATCTGTAAATCTTACCTTTCTATTTCAGTGACTCAACAAGACATTAATCAGAGTTGAGAGAATAAAATGCCATAAGACTTGGTCCTAGAGCATTTATTTAAGGGGAGCTACAGTATATCCTTCAGTAATTCTAGCAGAAGATTTGAAATCAGAACCTTGACTCTTACCTTTTTCTATTTGTCAACAAGAAACATCGTGCTAGTAATATGTCATCAACATTTCTTCTCCCAAATATGTGCAGACAAAAGGACATTATCCCATTTTTTAAATTTGTTGGATAGAATATACAGTGGCTGAGCTGTATATAGTTTTGAATTGTAGCAGTAAAAAATTAGCTGTGCGAACAGGAACCAAGAGACAGACTGTGCACTATATTTCCTGCTCATATGTTGTCTCAGCTGTTTTGCACTTTATAGTTTCAGCTGAAGAATGTCCATTTATCACGTAATGCTAATCAGTTATCATTCTACTCTACATTTTGTACAAAACATTGCTGGGAAGTCTGTTCTGGATTTGATGGATAGCCAGAATGGGACAGCACATAACCAAAAAAGGCATAAATACTCACAGATGTCTGGTCATACAGATGAGTTAAAATCAAAGAAAATTAGAGCTGGGATAAGACAGACGTGATCATAGAGCACATCAGGGAAACGTAAACTTGCTTTTTCTTCACCTTTCTCATCCAAACGGGGTTTCTTCTCATTAAAATAAATATTCAAACTAGAAGGTCTTTCATTTGTTTCCTTAAACTAGTCGAGTCCCACGAGGGAAAAAAAAATGTAAACCTCACATCATGAAGACAAAAAGCAGAAATCCTGTTTATTACCAAAGACATCCAAAAAGCTGTCCAAATCCAAGTTAGAGCATATGGTGCAAATCCCCCTCTTATATCCTCCAGCATTCCTTCCCTCACCCCCTCATCCCTCATCATTCTGGTTTGAGAAATCTGTATTTCCTTATTCAAGAACTACTGAATAAGTCGTTTTTGCTGTCTGTACCAAAAAATAATTATGTAGCTGAAAATAAAGCAGTAATTTTACTGTTTCAGATTCCATTAGTGATTTTGTATTTTTGTCAAGTGATATTTGATTGTAATAAGTGTCTCTCATTTGCTATTTTTTATTGTTGAACATTATCCTTTTCATCGATTGTTATCTGCTTAGCAGCTTTTTGGTGGTTCAGTCTATTGGTAATCTTTTCACATTGCCATCCACGCATTACTCTCATAGCGCCTATTAGCCATGTTAACT